GATGGTGGCTCTGAATCCATTGGCACATTAATTAACGTGTAGCAGACATTCTCAGCAGCTGTCATGGTTTCCGGTTACAATCAACCCCTGGCACAAGATTAAAAGATAATAGACGCCAGAAAATCTAGAAAAATAAATACAGCAATATCATTACACATTTTTCAAAAAATCCCACAGACCTGTAGCAATCTTTATTGTCTAAAGTTCATTCAGTTTGGCTTATGAGTTTTAAAGTACATAAGTGAAGGATTACTGAACAAGGAACAGACACCTAAACAGTGAAGGACAGGAGGATAAAACAGGTCATACTGGGGTGGGGGCACTAGCAGAGGGAGAAGGTAAATGAAGAGCACAAGGAGGGTGAATATGGATGATGTACTTTCTATACAAATAAGAATATGGAACACTGCAACCTGCTGAAGTCACCATAAGAAGGGGATGAACCAATATGGCCTATAATACATGTATATACGGAAATGTCACAAAGAACCTGTATAACTATATCATAAACTAACAAACATGTTTTGTTTTGTTTTTAAATGAAGAACAAGGTAAAACAGTTCCTGTGCTGGGGTGGGTTATCAGGGGGAGGGGGAAGGGTGAAGAAGGACAAATACGGTGGAAATAGTTTCTATGCATGTATGAAAACAGAACAATGAAACCTGTTGAAATTCCTCTAAAGAAGTGGGGAGGAGGGATGTGGAGCATGAGGGATGATGGAGGGGATGAACGTAACTAAGATACATAGTAAGCACGTACACAAATGTCACAATGCGCCCCTGTACAGCTATAATATGCTAATAACAAAACTATACCTGGAAAGAAAAAGGTCAGTCTATATTGTGCTTCCCATAAAAATAAACTGTGATTAAAACGCCCTTGTCAGGCCGGGCTAAGGAATATAATCTCCCACTCCCGGTGCGGGGTTCCGGTAAGGCCTACGGAACAGCGACGACCCAGCCGCAGTCACCATGTCACAGAACAGATTTTAAGCAGAACACACGACGCCCCACTCCCCGGCCTCCCTCCGCCAAAGCAGCCCGGGCCTGAGGCCGAGCCCAGGTCCCGGCGCAGGCCTCCGGCCCCACCCTCAGGGCTCCGCACCCGGCCGGCGCCCACGGCCTAGCCGCCCAGGGCGTCCTCCCGCCGGACTCGGTCCTCCCGCTCTGCGCCCCGGGCTCTCGCCCCGCTACCTGGCTCCCGAGCGGCAGCGGCTGGGTGACCACGGGACCGTACACTCCGGCTTCGACAGCCGCAGCAGCCACGGCTACTCGAGTCCACGGCTGACGTGGAAGGGGGCGGGAAGACGGCCGGAGCCCCAGCCACCTCGCACCTACGGCGACGCAGACGGGACACGCTTCCCCGTCCCGCAGCTGCGCGCTCCTGAGGCCCATCCGCTTCCGCTCTCGCGCGGGGCTGGTTTATGCAGCAGAGTGCAAGCTGGTATTTAAGATTTCCCGGCCAAGCCAAGCGCTAATTTAAGCGATACAGCCACTAAGATTTAATTGGAAATAGATCTAGGAACTGAAACAGTTCAAGGGAGTAAGCGCTTGCAGAGGGGGAAACAATTTTGCAGGACTATGGGGTCCAGTGGAAAAAGAGCGCTGGACTGAGAGCTGAAGTCCAGGGAACCCTTTTCTCTTTCTCCAGTAATAAACCAGGAAAGTTAACTAATTACTACTGGGCAAGTAACTTCGGTTCTTTTAATAAGACCACTAGATTACATGAAGACCTATTGCAGTTCTTAACATCTTCAGTAGCTTTTCTGGAGTTGCTTGAACATCAAAAGTTGCCCTGGTGTAATTTTTATATTTAGTAATGGTCTTTTTACGATCCTTTCTGAGCACCCAGTTTAAATTCCTTTATGCATAAAGGGAGACAGTCACTTTATAATGATTTTTACCTTACCTATCTTCAAAGACCTAAATGTTACAGATACGATCAGCCATAGCACCTTAGGTTTAGAATTTGTGGTTTCATATCCCACCCCCTGCTTCGCGCCCCCCACCCCTCAAAAGTTTCCTGGTCAATTGTTAATTAAAAAATACATTCGAAGGTTTAAGCAATACACTGAATACAGAGCCAGTCCTTAATGACAGGTTCACCTCACTTCAGGAGACAGAACACAAACAGTAGCTCATCTATCTAGAATCCAGTTATTTTGAGATTTCTTTTTTGGAACCCAAAATATTTCAAAGGTCGTGCTTACATCATTTTAATTATGAGTGGCACCACTGATCTCATACATTGGTTTTTAAAAATGTTTTCAATCTAGATAATTGTAAAATGACATGAATATCGAGATCCCCATATACTCTTCATCCATCTTCTTTCAAGGGAAACATTCTTGCAGGACACAATTCATTCCTCCTTATTCAAATTTCACTAGCTTTACATGCACTTATGTATTTAGTTTTAAATAATTTTATCATGTTCAGATTTGTGTGATCACTAACAGTCAAGTAATAGAACAGTTCCATCACAAGGATTCCTCATGCTATACTTTTTTGTCACAGCCCACAAACTTTTAACAGCAGAAACTTACCTGTTCTCTGATTTTGTCACTTTATTTTACTCAGCATAATTCGTCAAGATCAATCCAAGGTATCTGTTCATTTTAAACATGAAATCTTTGCAGATGCAGTTACTTGGTTTCTAAACCCATTTGACTTACCAAGAAGTGACAAACTATCACGAAACAAGGCCAAAGTAAAGACTAGACTTAGTAATAAGAAAGCTCAGCAGTTTAGGGCCACCATAGTACAGGACTAATATAGATTCACTGTAAACTTGAAGATATATCATGAGCCTGAGTCATTGAGGAAACTATTAAAATATGAAAAGGCATTTTAGGTATGTATCTGAAAGTGTCATTAGTAGTGAATATATTATGTATTTTTAAAAATAGAACTTCTTGAACAAATACCAAGTCTTTATATAGCCTCATCAATTCTTTCTGACTTGTAAAGTGCATCTATGTTTTGGTACTTTACTCTTGCATGTAATCATGTAACTTTGAATTCTTTTAAAATTGTGAGTACAAAGTCTTCATAGCAGAATACATGAACATCATCATAATAAATGCCCTCCCAACAATCATATTCCTGGGAGCATTCCACAACCCTCTGGCCCCAGAACTATACACCATCAACTTCACCATCAAACAAAGACTTTGCCATGTATCAAGAATCAAAAATTTAGAAGCCAAGGAAATTAAGGCCTACCTAGAGACAAGACTTGGTCCAAATCATGTAATGGTTAAACACTAACAGAGCTAAGATTATAACCTGAATCCTGTCATCTACTTTATGGCTTTTTAACCATGCCAGTTCTTCAGAGCTGCACATTACAGATAATAAATTCCAGGTGAATTGAGTACTATCTCTGTATCAGTGAATGGATTTGTAAGACATTACGAATCTTACTATTTATAATTACTAAACATAGACTAAATGGAATTACCAAGTCCAACAAACTAAACAAAACATAAAAGAGCATCACAATGAATTCTTAATACAGTGGGTTGGGTCTTATTGGGGTGGAGAGAGAATTTTTAGTTACTGAGTAAGATTAAAACCCCATGTTGAAAAACCTAAAACTGCCCCAAAAGTACAATACAGACCATTATTTTTGTTTTGTTTTGAGCTGAGTTCCAGCCAACTAGTAGTTGGCATTTAGGGAATAGGTACAAAAAAATAAGCACAAAGCAAGTTCAAGGCCACCTGGGATGTGCAGTGAAACCCTATCTCAAAAACAAACAAAAAAAAACCCCCACAATCTTTAAACAGAAGCTCACCAATGAAAGGCACAGAAGAGACCTACCTGAGCAAAGAGCAGATCACAAAAATACCCACATGTGCTCCGTCCCCACACTATATGCCACTGAGTGTGGAGGTGGTTGGGAAGAGTCCTTCTGGTCACAATTTTACCTTTTGTATGTGTGAAAGGTACATGTACTTGACGTAACTCAGTCATAGTTCAACTACCTACACAGTACTTATTCCCAAGCTTAAATGGCAGACCCCTGAAACTATATCCAGAGGATAGACGGCCATCCCACACATTTCAATACTCAATTAGAGGTCTTTCCTTAACACAGTTGCCAGTTTCTTTCACCATTCTCCCTTTAAGAAATCACAAGGGGATTTAAACAACTAAGGCGTTTTAAAGTTTTGGTAAACCTAAAAATTTTATGAATTTTTGAGTTTACAAGATATCCTAACATTTCCTATTTAGCCCTACAATAATTCTCTAAAAAGTTTTCTTAAAACAGGGGTGTCTCGCCCAAAGCCAATAAGCAGTAGAATTAGGTCTAAAACCTGAGTTTACTGTCTATAAATAAACCTCTCATCTCTAGAAAGATGTACTATCCCAGATAATAAAATAATTCCTGTAAGCTTTATAGCAGCAAAATTTTGGATTAAAAAAAAAACTATTTCATCTAATTTTATTTTGGATGGACTAAGACAAAAACTGTTCTGTAATACCTGGGTACACTGTTCATGGGAATAATAGAAGGCAGCTATGGACTATGTCGGAGTGGGGCTGGGTAGGATAAAGAGGTTTGTTGTTTTCATAAAAGTTCCCAAGAGACCAGAGCTATAACTTCTGCCATCTGCTGGTTGTACAGAAAAATCTTGTTTTTTGGGGAAGGTGGAGGGGGAGGGAAGATTTGCTGGGGATTGGACCCAAGCCCTCACTGGCTAAACGTGTGCTTTACCACTGAGCTACATCCCTAGCTCAATCTTACTACTTCTGATGGTAAGTGATGTTTCTTAGGTTTTAATAAGAATATCTCTAAGTTTCTACCTTGAAATTTTTATTCTGAGAAATCTATAGATTTTCATATAGTCAGTCAACAAAATGAAAAATAAAGCTGGAAAGAGGTATTTTTCTATATAACCAAAAATAAAGCAATAAAATCTGGTAAATGATCAGTTATAATATCAAACTACTACTTATAGTTGAAGCTATGTTAAAAAAACAAAACCCCAATACAATAGCAGGTGAAACAACTTTATTTCACAGTTGTCTTTAGAATCACAAAGACACTATTTTCTTCATATAAAAACATTGGTATGGCTACCCATATTTTCTAGAAAATGATAACATAGTCCTTCTCAAAGAAAAACGCACCCCATTATATGGTTACAGAGAAGTTGCTTGGAAAAACACTCACATCTGGACTGATTACTAAAACATACTATTCCACGACTTTGTATCTGTTGGTTCAAAGTACAGGGTATCAGTATGTCATCAGTATGTGCTCCTGCATTCTGACACATGTGATAATATACTTTATTGCTTAATGTTCCATTGGTTCATCAGCCTTTTCTGCAGGCTCATCAGCAGGTTGTGCAGGCTTAAAAGGGAAGAAAAGATGTAAAATGAATACTTGATTAATACACACTCCTAATAAAATATTGCATTATAAAATATTAATAAGAGTATGAGGTCCTGGGTTTAATTCCCCAGCACCAAAAAGAAGAGGAAAAAAAAAAAAAACTAACAAGAAAAAGGGGTGACAGGTATCCTAGAACTTAATTTTAGTACACTGTCCTGTTAAAATTTCTGAGAAATGTTTAAAAAGAATTAGATAGAAGTTTAGCTCTGAAAACCACTGAACAATTCCACTATTTCATATCATACTTTGTCCTACTCAAGAGTTAAAAGCCTGCTATTATTTCACTACTACTTAAAATACAACCAGCACTTTTTAGACACCTTTTTTCCTTTACTAACAAACACAGCAAAAATACAACTAGGTCAACCAGATACATGGCACTCCACAGCATCCTTCCCAACAGCTATTTAAGTAATGCAAATCTTGTTCTTCCAAATAGTACCAACAGTATCTTTTGAAAGTTGAAAAAAGCCCAAAAAACAATTCATGCTGTAGAAGGAATTCCTGTATCACTTTTTATTTTCAGTTCCCCAGCTATCAAATAAGCATCCATTAATAGCAAATATGAGCCAGGTGTGGAGGACCATACCATACAACTGGACCCTGGCTCAAAAAGAAAAACTCCAAAAAGCAAATGTGTAGTTTCAGCATCCAGCAAAGAGACCCATATTTAACCTAATATCAACACTTTTAATTTTTTTCATGAACACTTCTTGTTGCTTTTGTCACTTATTTATAAGTGTCCAAAGCTGGCCCCCCCAGTTAACACTTCTAGTCCCCTCCCCCTCCAAAAAGGTTATGCTATGCCAGTCTGGAATCTCAGCATTAAGAATGGTTAGCAGCTTTCACTTTTGAGCTTTTGTAAACTCTGACTTGTCATCCTGCTAGAGAGGACCTTTTGAGGGAGAAGCCCTGAGTCTACGCAGACAGAAGCCTAGCTATTCTAAAAGAGGATCCAGCCTTCTGCCACTATAACCAACCTAGGTAAGTAAAGACTTACAAGTAACATCATCTTGGATTTTCTGGCTCCACCCTATGTTTAACTACAGCATTTGTGAGATCCCAAGTGAGAACAGCAAAAAAACAGTCAGCCACAGAATTGTGAAAATAATGTTTCTTGCTTAAAGCCTAGAAATTTTGGGAGTAGCTTATTACATAGCAATAAATAAAGAAATCACCAACTCTTCTCCCTTTTTGTGTTTATGAGATCACTGCCCTCTCAGTATTTTCCTATTGTCATTAGAATTTTGGGCCTCTCTCAATAGGTAAGGAGAAAATGTGGATTCACACAGTTGTGATGGGAAGAACAGTGTATAGTAGAACTCAAGCCTCTTGTTTCTTGATTAATTATATACCTGTGCCTTTCTTTGTGGTCTTTCTTCAAGACCTTCCAGGAATGGAGATACATCATCATCGTCATAGATTGTAAACTCCAAGTCTTTACCAACAATTCCAATAGAAACATTCTGAGGGGGAAAAAGTGGTGAAAGTAACAAATAATTTAGGTCAGAAAAATGCATGATAAAATGTTGGGTAAAAGAATCAAAATTTATCCAGCACTTGAATTCAAGACTTTAAAAACTACATATATGTAGGGGCAAAAGGAAGAGGAAATTAGTAGACCCTTTCCTATAGATTTAATGCTCACTTTTGCTAATCTTGAATAACCCCAAAGATCTATGTCATCTTTTAAACATTCTTTGGTGTATGCAGTGTATAAAGTCTTCACATAGATACAAGTAGTTATCCAGTGGTCATACCAAAATGGCTTTATAATGCTGATTCACTTTAATTAATGACTATTAACTTCAAATAAGCCTGAGTGGTTTTTTTCTGGATCATTTCATACCAGTTCCTGTATCTTTCAATCTCTCTCTTGCTTTTTTTTTTTTTTTTTGTGTGTGTGTGGTAGAGATGGAACCCATGACCTCAAGCACACTGTGTAAGCTACCACTTAAGGATGCCTCAGTCCCAATCTCCATTTCTCTGGGACAACTCCTAACATTCTCCATTCTCCTTGAAGCAGAAAACCCTGATTCTATTTCACTAAGAAAACAGAGGCAAATAGAAGAGAAAGCACTTTCACCAGCTTCTTCTGTAGCCACTCATTTCTGTACCTATGTTTCTGGATTTTCTCCTTTCTTGATAATATGCAGGAATAGTCTAGTTTCCTCTCTAAAGCCAACCTCTATACCCGTCTACTACTTTTTTTTTTTTTTTGATGGTACTGGGGTTTGAACTCAGGGCCTCAAGCTTGCTAGGCAGATGCTCTACCACTTGAGCCACTCCACCAGTCCCTGTGTACTGGTAAGGGACATTGTTCTAACCATTTTTCTCATATCTCTCCTAACAAATGCTTCATTTGTACACTGGATTATTCTCATAACCATGAAGCAAATATAAGGTAATTTTGCCTTTCTCAAAAACCCAAAACAATGAAAAATTCTTAATACTACTTCTTCCAGTCACCAGTCTACTTCTCTGGACCCTCAAAAGAAAAATCTCCAAAGAGCTATCCAATTCTCTTCTATTCTCTATCAGGCTTTTGCCCCACCAATTCATGACAATTCATCTTGTCAAGTGTTCAGTGTCAACATCATTGCTAATCTAAATTATCAATCTACATCTTCTTGATCATTAGCAGCTTTTCATTCCCCTCTCCTTGAAAGTTTCTTTATTTGCTTTCAGGGTGCCTCATTTCCAGGTTTTCGAAATACTTCTCTGGCCATCTTTCTAAGTTTACTCTTTCCCAATCTCTAAAGATTAGTGTCTTTGGTCTAGTCCTCAAATTGCTTGTTTTAACTATTTGATTCCTTTATCAATCTCATCTAACCCATTTTCTAAATGTCATTTCTACATAAAGACACCAAAAGTGTTAACTGTAGGCTAGACCACTCTCTATGGAAGTCCAGAATACTGACAATTGCTTATTCTACATTGCCAATTAGACAAACAAAAGGCATTTCAAATTTTACATGTCCCCAACTAACTGCCTGATCACCCTCTGTAACTTGTTCCCAAAACCTGTTCTTTCTACTGCTCAATCTATCTCAGTCAGTCTTTCCTTCCAGTTAAGTCAAGAACTGTGGAAGCACCTCTCCTTTCAACAAATTTGCCTGCAAACTTTCTTGTTCTAACTTCAGACATCCAAAACCGAACCCTTCTCACCTCTAACTCTATTGCACTGTCTCGGGCATCATCATCTCTCACATGAATTACTGTAACAACTTTAAGATTATCTCCACTCGTGCCCCCACTATGACCTGTTGTCAAAATGCCAAATAAATCTCTTAAAAAGTAAATCAAATCATAGTATTTCTCTGCTTAAACTCTATCAGCCTCCACAGAATAAAATGCAAAGTACCTATAGCTTATAGGACAAATGCAATCTGGCCTCCATTTCATCTCTAATTTCTTTCCTTCTCCTCTTTTCCCTGCTCACTGACCCCCACACTACTGACATCCTTGCCTTGAATTCTGGGAAAATTCTGGCCTCAATTCTTTGCCCTTGCCCTCCCCGGAATGATCTGTATGGCTCATTTAGCTCAGTTAGATCTTTTTCTCAAATTTTACTTTCTTGGGGAGGCCATCCTTGATCACACTATTTTAAATTACACCTACAACAGTGTCTACCTGTACCCAATTTGTTATTCTTTCACCTGTTAACCTGTTTTATTTTCTTCCAGTATTTATCAACCCTTAATATACAGTGTAATTTACTTATGTGTATATTGTCTGTCCCTCCACTAGAATCTATGGTCAATAAAGACTAAGATATTTGTTGTGCTCACTACGTTCTCAATGCCTAGAAACTGTACATGATAAGTACTCAATATATACATAGTTGTTAACTATGTTTATAATAGTTATGCCTATCTACTAAAAATAATTGAAGGACATTCAGATTTATTGTTTTTTTTCTTTATACATGGAATTGAAAAATGGTAATTCAAAATTGGGTCCCTTACTGAATAGTTTAAAGGGAAAGAATAAGCCAAAGCAACCATCTCCAAAATTAAAGAACATAAATTTAGAAGTGAGATTGCGGTACATGACTGTAATCTTAGCGCTTAGGAGGCTGGAGCAGGAGGATTTCAAGTTTGAAGTCAGCCTGGGTTACATAGCCAGTTTCACCCCAGTCTAAGTTACATAATGAAACCCTGTCTCAAGAAAAATATAAGCCCCACAAAAGAAAAACAAAAAGTATACAATTCTTCTATTACTTACATTTATGTAACAAAGGATTAGAAACTTCATTGTTAATATCTACAACTGGAAGAGGTAACTTTTACCTTTGTAGTTAGGTCCTGCTCTGCAGGAAGTGTCTCTCTTAAGGCACGCAGACCATGTTTAACCAGTTCGTTTAAATTGCCTATATGCAGTAAATGAAAAATTATTTAATTTCATCAACATATTAGGCTTCTTTTACCTATCAAGCCTATAGTCTGAAATTGTGGCTTTAATTACACACTAAACACAATAAAAGCAGTCAAAAATCTAATGCTTATGGTATAATCTAATAGCAATCAATAACATTGATGACTCATTTTATTTAATGAAAGGGCGTATGATTTTTGTTACTAAATCTGACCTATTCTTTTATTAAGTTAAATCGAAATCCTGATTCACAAATGATATTTGTAGAATGTATTCTGTGGAATGCTAGCCCCTATAATCACTCTTTATAAAAGGAGTGTCCAATTTAATCCATGTGGTCTGATATCAAAATCAGAAAAAGTCATCACAGAAAAGTACAGCCAACATCTCTTATTAATACAGACACAAAAATCTTCAACAAAATACTATAAACTGAATCCAGCAACATAAGAAAAGGATTATCAAATCATGATCAAGTGGGATTTTTCTCAGGAATGCAAAATTGGTGTAACAATTGAAAAGTTAATCAATGTAACACATTACAATAATAGATTTAAACTTGCAAGATCACCTCAGTAGATACATAAAAAGCCTAAGATAAAACACCCACACTTACAAATAAAAACACCAAACTAGTTATTAAAAGGAACTTCCTCACCCCAATAAAGGGTATCTATAAAAAATTCACATCTAACAACGTAATAATAAATGACTGAAAGCTCTCCCATAACAGGAATAAACCAAGGATGTCTGCTCTTAGCATTTCTCTTTACCACTGCACTGGAGGTTCCAATGCAGTGGAAACAGAAAACATCCAGATTGGTGGTGGGCACAATCCTAGCACTGGGGAGCTAGAGGCAGGATTGATTGTGAGTTCCAGGCCAACATGGGCTACACAGCAAGTTCCAGGCTATATAGGCTATGAGACTCTATCTCAAAAAAATAAAAACCAAAAAACCCAAAAAGCATCCAGACTATGAAGAAGTAAAACTATTATTTCTGGATGACATGATCTTGAGTATAAGGAATCTACAACAAAAGTGACTAGAACTGATAAATGAGTTCAGCAAGCTTACAGGATACAAGATCAACATACAAAAATCAACTACATATATGCATTGAATAATCTGCAAATGAAATTTAGAAATTTAGAAATTTAGAAAATTCTGTTCACAAATAACATCAAAAAGAATAAAATACTTAAGAGATATTCCTTGACTTACAATGGGGTAACATCCCAGTAAAAAGAAAAAGTGGTAAGTGGAAAATGTAATTTAATACTACGGAATGCCATCACTTAACAACACGGTATACTGTAGAATACTAGTTGTTTATCCTTGTGATTGTGTGGCTGACTGAGAAAATGTTAAACTTCAATCCAGGTCTTTATCTGGTCCTAAAACTTCATTTTCTCAAATCTACTATCATCTTACAATACAGTTTGCTTTAAGTAAGGTTAAAAGGATAATTACTTTTCTCTATATTCATTGATCTTCAGATATTTCCTTTATAGGATACTATAATGCCATAAGAAAACTTACAAGACAACCAAGAAATACGTGAGGCCCTGCTAACAACCCTCCTTCCATTGTGAAAGACAGCACTTGAAAACCTGCCATATCACCTTACATTTTTACCTTCCTTTCCCATAGCTACACTGCCTTTCACTTGTTTACAGACTACTTACTGCATAAATGTCTATGTGGCTTAAAATAGGAACAGAATAAAAGAAAACTAAAAGTTGTAAACAGAACTTACAAATAGCAATTAGTACAGTGGTTTTGAAATCTGGCTGGGGCATACTTAAGAACAAATAAATCAAGAGCTTTCAAACTTAGGGACACATTTATATTTATAATTTGAAAAATTATATTGGTAACTCAAGAGTAAAAACTTGTATGTGTGACAGAAATAATGAATACTTTATGAACTTAATTAAAAAAAAAACTCTACAAAGCTGTTATTTTACCTTTATTTAGGATACTACATTTATTCACTATATAAAGACTGGCAGAAGCAAAACAAAAAGCAAGCAAGCAAAGCTATTACTTACATTCTATAAACTCTGACATATGTCTCTCCAGGTAAGTACGAGCTGATTGAGAACGGGCTCCAATGGACATAGCTCTGCAGTCAAAATAGTTAGCAGATGGACAGGTTTGGAAAATGTGAGGGCCCATATCCTACAAGTAGAAAAAACAGTAATTCTTTACTTTGGTTGAGCTAAAAATTACAAAAATTTCAATATTTTTTTTTGTTTTTGTGATACTGCAGTTTGAACTCAGGGCCTGGTGCTTGCTAGGCAGGTGCTCTATTACTTGAGCCATACTTCCAGCTCCTTCCCACCACCGTTTTCTTTGAGACAGGTTCTCACTAGGCAGCCCAGGCTGGACTTGAATTTACAATCCTATCTTGCCCTCCCCAGTGCTGGGATTACAGGCATGTACCACCATATCCAGCACTCTAGTCAGTTTTAAAAATCATTAAAATACAACAATGTTGTTTAAACTTACATCATAACCAGCAATTAGCAGACCGACACCATATGGTCTCCGGCCATACCGCTGTGTTGGTATCTGGGTCTCTTTAACTAGTTAAAGAGCTTGTTCTAACAAGGAATGAAACACTATATTTTCAAATTAAACATTATTAGCAAAGACTTTTAGCTTTGTCCTTAATTGTCACATTATTCACAGGAAGAAGTAAATAAAGTAGAAGAGTATTCCTTTGGCCTAATATTATAAAATCTTTGACTTTCCACCAAACCCAAGAATGAATGCTAGCAAATGATCTCTTTCTAAGTAGAACCTCATTTGTTTTGGATGTAAGGGTTTCTGGGACATCTAGAATCTAGCAAGAAACTTTAAATCCCCTTTAAAATGATGCTTGGTCAGTGTTTCTGAAGTTGGGCTCATTTAGTCTAGGAAATACCATCTGTTAACAAGGGCTAATGACAAAGTAACTTAATTCTGTAATGTTTTACAATCTTACCTATGTTTTGTATTATTATATTCCTAATAACACAAGGATCAAGTGCTAAAATCCTTTAAAGTTGACAATCATAAATGCTAACATAAAAAGGATACTGCTTCCAATTAGAGATACAAGACGAGAGACTGGAAGTGGTCTGTCAAATACAAATCTGGAATCCAAACACTCCTGGCGCATAAAATTACTTAAAAAAAAAAAAGAGAGAAAAATTAGTACTTTCATATTAGAAAGACAATCCAATTTAAATAAAGCAGTTTGATTACACTTTGCTTTCCTCCAAACATTTTCAGGGATTACACCCATATGAGCAAACCAGAAAGGTAAGGAACACATGGCCACAAGGATACATTTTTGTGCAAATCTCTGGGGTCACATGAAGCTTCAAAAATGACTAAATTCTTCTTTAGCTCTGGAAAATCTTTGTCTCAGAATGCATATAGAGAAGGTTGAGCAAAGAAAAAGAACAATCTCTCCTTTTAGCTTTCCTACCATTAGCAAGTTTGTCCTAATTCTAGGTTTTGCACCAACAAAAGAAATACCTACTCTGCTTTTTCTTTTTTGAAAGCAGACTAAAATTTGTCCACGGGAGCAATCATAAGAAACAGAATCCATAACAGAAAATATCTTTACATGTTCCTGCCACTGTACTTCTTTTTATAAGCAATGCTCTAGGAGGTACTAGACATTAGATTTCAGAGTCTTCACTATTACACCTGTCTAGATTCAAGCAAGGTAAACATGGGAAACAGGGAATCAAGCCTATTAAAGAAGATAAATAATAATGGACAGGCTCCTTTCTTTCCATGGTGCTTTTCCAGTATACATATATTACACGTGACAAGTTTTTTTTCAGTGCTCGTGAATTGAACTTGGGGCCTTGTGCATGCTGGGCAAGAACTTTACTGCTAAGCTACACACTTAGTCCCTGATGATCAAAGGCTGACTACAACCAAGCTATTTGTTCAGCACTTTTTTTTTAATTGGCAGAACTGGGGTTTGAACTCAGGATTCCACACTTGCTATGCAGGTACTCTACCATTTGAGTCACGCCGCCAGCTCTTATTCAGTACTTTTCAAGTTAATTTTTGAAGGCATTAATCACATATCACTAATAAGCCCTTAAAAAGTAGTTAAACTGAGATGTAAGTATAAAATACATACCAAATTTCAAAGGCTTAACACCAAAAACTAGTATAGTATCTCATTAATAATGATTTTATATTAGTTACAAGTTGGCATAGCAATATTTTAGATAGTCTGAGTTGCATAAAATGTTTGACAAGATAACATATTTTACATTTTTAGAAACAGACAGAAACCCATAAAGCTGTAGCTACATTACTGAATTAAGAGAGCAAGTAATTGGCTGAATAACTTGAAAATATTAAGCAACAGTATTACCATCTGCTCTTACTGTTTATATTTTTTCTTCCCTAATCTATTCCAATCATGAAGAGATCAGTTTTGACTAACTACTTTCCACTCACCCTACACTCTCTCTCTCTCTCTCACACATACTAACTGAAAGCTACTGTGTCAAGTGCTCTATAAGTTAGGATATTTAACTTTGAGAAAGATAACACTGAAAAAAAGTGCTTAATTAGCCCAATCAGCTACTAAATGATGAAGTAAGAATTCAATCTATGTAATTTAAAGCCCTACCTCTTCACTTACATATTGCTTCTCAACCAAAAATAATCTCCATCTCCTCTGGATGGTCACAAAAATTTCCCTATTATTCTCCACTTCTTATTTCATAGATAAACTAGATTTTAAATTCTTTGAAGACCCATGTCTGAGTCACCTTTCTATACTCCAAATTTTCTACTACTGAGCTTCATAAAAAATAAATAATAAATATTGATGTTTTAAAGAATGTAACGTTTAAAGGATGTAATGTTACATCCTTAAGGCATCAAGAAAAATATCAGACTTTTTTTTCTTTTTGAAGGCCCTAGAAATGGAACTCAGGGCCTCACGTTTGTTCAAGGTAGGCACTCTTCAAGCTGTTCTTAAACATATGGCTTCAAACAATATACAATGGGTTAACAACTATCAAATTATTCAGTGACTTCTCAAAAGTGTTAGCAGTAATATGCTTAATTCTATTAGTTACAAATACAAGAACTAAGAAATAGAAATGCTTAGCAGCTAACCCAAACCTACTAAGGTATTCACAATGTCAATTATAAATATTCTAGCAGACAATTTCCTAAAGTATATTATCTAGGTCTTTTCTAGAAAGCTACTTATTTAGGAATCAAAAGGGATGTTTGTTTTGTTTTTCATGATCATACTTACCATAACAGTCTAGCATCAGCAGTAAGTCCCGCAATTGAGATACCAATATGGTTGTCAACATGAAGAATTTTTTTCTGGTGAGCTGCAAGTTCTGACTGTGCCCTCTAAACAGAGACATTAAAAAATGCAGAGTCTACAATTTAATTGTTTACACAGTGAAATTTACATTTGTTAGTTCTGTTTTCAAAAGGAGGAAGATATGTTTATTGCTACATTTACCTTCAGTGCAACCAACACTGCATGGGTTTTTGATTTCAGACCAACTGTGGCTGAACCTTGTTTAACAGCCTCCATTGCATATTCAATTTGATGAATCCTGCCCTAAAGAGAAAAATAGTACATTTCAGAGTAACTTTAGAAGACCCTTTTAGAAATTAAAAATTAGAGTTTCCAAACCTCAAGTGAGTTTAGTTAAATTTTAAATAATTTTTTTAAAGCCAGGAAACTAATTTTATTTATAAATTTAAATTCCAGAAAGTTCACAAATGATTATATTCCATTTTCTTACAAGCTACAACCTCACAAGTTTCTTTCTTCCGTCTCTTCTTTTTTTTTCATAGCCGAATGTTTCTTTCTAATGAATTGACCATTTCCAAAGTTCTGAAATGGCCAACAGACCATAAAAAGACATTTCTTTAGGCTCCTGCTTGAAACCAACAGCTTCAGCAAACTGCTGGCCTTGATTCAGGGCCTTTTTTTTTTTTTTTTTGAAATAGCATCCTGCTAAGTTACCCAGGGTAACCTCAAACCCAACAATCCTTCAGTCTCAGCCTTCTTGACTAGGCCTGGGCCACCATGCCCAGCTAACAATCCCTCAAGTTTCTAAAACCTATTGCAGCCATGAAAAGTCACTTCATGGAAATGGCATAAAATAGCTGGGTATGGTGGTGCACATGTAATCCCAGCACTTGGGAGGCTGAGATAGGACTCTGAGCTCCAGGCCAGCCTGGGCTACATAGTGAGATCCTTTGTCAAAATAAACAAACAAAATAATAAACAGCACAAAACACTGTTTTACCTGAGGGCTCCAAACAGTGACATCATTGTCATACTGGTTGCGAAACTGAAAGATAAAAAGATATATTAATTCAAGAACATCATAAATCCCAACATTAAGAAACGTGCTTGCGTGTGTTTCCATTCAATGTTAAAGCAATCTTGTTAATGCAACCTTGCTGGAACATCACTACCATACTCAGTTGCGAGCCAATTCTACATCTACTATGAGGTGGTGGAGGAGGGAGGAGCACATGAGGTGATCCAATATCTCGACTTCCTGCTCTGCCACTCTCCATAGCATTCCCTTGGGCAGTCAATAATAGCTAAAGTCATATGCACCAACTTTCCTTCCTACCTTTGCTTATGTTGTTCTCGTATTCAGGGTCCTCACTAGTGACCAGAAGCCTTCCATTTCTTTAAATTAGTTCAAATGCCTCTTTCCTGAACTCTTCTCCATCTTTTCTCCCTAAATCCCAATACACACTTGCCCAGTTCTTTCTCTATGCATCTTTCTAGCTTTACATTATGATTAAGGATATGCCTGATTTATATTTTAACTCTGTTGTACAAATATTCATATTGAATGCATAAGTGCAAAAATATCCTCAGGAAGTTAGATACAAACAGCTACAGCGATGGAACCACTGCTGCTGTCAGTACTTGACACTGCAAGGCTATCAGTACTTGGGAGAATAATCATGGGGATGAGAAGACAGAGGGCTGGGACGGCAGACTCAATGGAAGCCCTAACTCCACCACTTCCTCATCTGTAACTAAAGTGACTGGGCAAAGTGACTGAAAAGGGCCTTTTCCGATCGAGCTTTAGGGGACAGGTAAACTAAAAGGACCCACCAGGAAAATGGATGTGGTCCACTAACTCAAATCGTGGGGTCTGGTCCGTACTGACCACGTCAAGTTCCTCTCCTCTCTCCCACTCAGAACATAGGGATCATTCGGGACGGCTCGAAATCCACTTTTAAAAGGCGAACACGGCTAACTGACCGGGGAGCAAGTGTTCGAGGCCCCGTGGAAAGTGAAACAAGCCGCGAGGAAAAGGCCGCGCCGACTACAGACCGCCCCTCGCCGGCCAGGCCGGAGATGCTGAATCACGGCCGGAGCCCTCGGGTCTGCTAGGAACCCCATGTCCTGTCGGCCTAGGCCGCCTCTAAGGATAACAAGAGAGGCAGGCCACCGACCCGCAGTCAGCGGACCTCTGCCCTAACCCTCCCCTGGACCGGGATTCAACGCACCATAGCTGCAGCGCGGACCTGGATGCGAGCCTCCCGGAGAGCAGCGAATCGAAGCGAGCTGCCGAAGCTACGGCTCGGCGATCGACAGGAAAGGCTACGTGATTTTGGTGGCGGCGGCGCAGCATAGAGCAGTCTATCCCAGAGATATCGATGGGCGTCAACCGCGTCCCCGCCCCCACAACGCCCCTCCCCGCTCGACAGTGGGCGTGGCCTCGGAAGATCTAAGCGCCGAGATTGGCTGGAAACGCTGGGCCGGGAGTGGGCGTGGTCTCGGAAGATCGTGGCTCTGAGATTGGCTGGAAACTTTGGTCTTTGGGGATGCCCGCCGCGGCTAAGAGCTCTGGGGTGCTGCGGTAGAACTGCGAGTCCGGAATTCTCAATTTAATCCCCGCGGATAGCAGATTCCCGCCAGTTCCTCATCTGGTTCCCTGGAGGCTACCGTTGCCACCCCGGGTGACCAGAACGTGTCACTCAAGCTCTCATTCACAGTCCGCAGAGATGTGCGGAGTTGTGTGAATGAAAAGAGCTAGGTTGCAGAAAAGGCCACAAAATAATGGCCCGTTTGTGTGTGTCAACCAGATCCTCCAGCGTCTTGTTTGCGTACAAGCTTTCCTTTCCACTGGGGAACACTGCTCCTCACTCCTTGGAGAGCTCACCTTTCAAAGCTTTGTCATTGATCACGCATTTTTATGACTATGGATTGCTTCCGCCAGACTTTGAACTTCATGATGGTACTGACAAGTTTTTGTGCCCTCAAAACGAAACGTGATACTTGGTAGATTAGGCCCCTGGCCGGGGGGAGGGCATTTCCTTAGGAATTTCTCTTTTGCTGCGAGCATCTTTTGGTACAGCCTCAAATGAAATAGTTTAAGACAGCTCTGCAAACAGCTACCAACTTAACATCTATCGACTGCTAATTCCTTTTGTAAAGAAGAAAGGATGAGACTCAGGTCAGGTAGGAGTCTTCAAGGATCTGACCTTTGAAGGTGGAGCAGCAGGTCACTTAATTGATTTGCTCAAGTCCACAGCAGTTTAGTTGTCACATGCTTTTTTTTTTTTTTTAAACTTTTTCACATATATATTTTTAAGCTCTTTCTGTGTTAAATATTTCTCAGGTCAAGTGCATTAGTACTTAGTACTTAGCACTCTGCATTATGAATATTTGATATTTTCCCAGTTGAATAGTAGCCTGTTGCATAGAAATACAATAATTTACCTATCAGTAAGTAATTAGGTTATTTTCAAGTTTTTACTATGATAAAAATACTATAATGACTTTTTTTTATACATGCACACGTTTTGTGTCCTGATTACATCCTTCTGATGAATCCTTAGAAGTAGAATTATAATAAGGAATTACAATAAATATAGCTATAAGTTACAAAAGAAGGTGTATCAATTTATATTCTGTGTTGCCTCACAACCCACTTTCTTTATACCTTCACCACTGAATATTGTTAAGTACTTTTTACATTTGTCAAGTTAATAGGCAGAAAAAGATAAAAACTCATAATTTGTATCTTAATTACTAGTAAAAATCCCTTTTCATGTATTTAATTGACTGTTCCTGTTACATTATTATTATTGGTACTAGAGTGGGGTTCAAATTTAGGACCTTGTGTTTGCTAAGCAGACACTCTACTACTTGAGTCACACACACCAGTCCTGTTTATGTTACTTTAGTGAAAATTTTTTATTGGTTTCTTGGCTGGTTATGTTTCTTTAGTTAATTGGTATTTCTTTTTCTCTATTGTTGTGTTAAACATTTTCTCATTGTTTTGTAGGAGCTCCCTGCCAGTAGGGATGGTAATCTCTTATTACTGTATTACTTGTATAGAAGGAACCTTTTTTGCTACAAAAAAAAGAAATCCACTGAAGCTAAGTCAAGCAAAACTGGGGTAGAGAGGATATTGTAAATATAGAACAGGAAGTCATGTAAGCATCCACGGACAGGAAATTTTGACCTTTAAGAAACGCACGGAGGTATTCTTAGTACATGGAACAAAACCTGGCATATAATAGTAGGCACTCACGAAACCTTGGGTGAATAAATGAATAAAAGACTGATGAATCTGTTACCCTAAAACCTGTCCCTTTGATTTTTATGCTGTAGGCAAATATCTTGGGCTTCACGGTATACCCTTCATTCACAGTAATTGGCTTCCGAGTAGCTATTATCAGAGCTCCACTTGGAGACCAAGAGAAGGGCCATTTGGTTGAATTTTTTTTGTCAACACTTTAAGACCTAAAGCACTTATTAAAGTTTCATGTGACTTTCAGCTTTTCTGTGTATGTTTGGAGGATTTGGTTCATAATACATCTTGATCTTTAACCAGCTCAGCAAACATAACACTACTTACTACTTTAAAGGTCGTTAGTAAGCAATGTCAGGCTGGGCACCAGTGACTCACACCTGTAATCCTAGCTACTTGGGAGGCTGAGATCAGGAGGATCTTAGTATGAGGCCAGCCTAGGCAAATAGTTCATGAAACCCCATCTCCAAAATAACTAGAGCAAAATGGAACGGAAAGGTGGCAGTTGAGCACCTGCTTTGCAAGCATGAAGTCCTAAGTTAAAACCCTAGTACTGCCAAAAAAAAAAGAATCACGAAGTATTCTGAACCAAATCCCCAAATCATGCTTAGAGAAGCAAAAAGACCAAATGCAAGTGTCTCTTTTGTTGGTTTGGAGGTAGGGCTTTTATATAAGAACCACTCTGAAGAGTCTAGCCACCATTTTCACCTAACAGAGCCACTAGTATATGCATAAAGGGTATTGATGAAAAGTACAGGTTTTAGAGCCAGACATTTCTCATTTATCCAACAAATATCTTTGATTATTTTACTATATGCCAAGCATTATTACTAAGACATTGAGAATACCAAAGGAAACAAAATAGGCAAAAATTCCTGAGAGGACAGATGAAATCAGGGAGCAGATGTGTTGGGGATTACAGATAGCATAGGGTCTTGAGGACATAATAAAGACTTTGTGAGTGAGGCATAAAGTTACTAGAAGATTTCAAAGCAAAGGAATGGCATGCATGACAATTTTAAAAAAGATCATCCTGACCCTTATGCTAAGAACAGACAATAGGAGGCCAAGGGGGCTAATAAGATCAAGGCTCTTACAGTAATCCCAATGAGAAATGACAATATTTTGGATCAGAGTTGTGACAGTGAATTGGTAAAAGTAGTTGGATTCTGGATATATTTTGAAAGCAGAGTCAACTTTGCTTAGCTATTCATAAACTCTGAGATCTTTGATGATTGATTTCACCCTCTGAACCTTCATTTTGTTGTCTATGAAGTTCACAAAATAGAAATAATATTAGCTAGTATCTCCTTTGATTTTTGTGATGATTAGAGAATTTCTCATTTAAAGTATACTACCTGGCACATGGTAAATACTCCATAAGCATTAGATATTACTATTGCTACTTTTAGAGCCAGCATTTGTCTTCTAAAACACTGCTAATGGTAAATACATGCTCATATAATCATGATAATAGCAATGTCTGTTGTTTATCTAGATGGAATAGCAAGCTAGAAGGATACACTGAACTATTTACCTCAACTCTCATCTCTTAAATAAGTTACACTTTTAGCCAACAGCTACCTTCCATCTAGCTAGCATTTGAAGTCCTCCTAAATATTTAGTTTTTACATTAATCTCTTTGACAATTTTTATTTACCTTTCTTAGTTGCCAATGTCCAAAAAGCACAATAAAAGAAAATGTCCTTTAGCTGGCAGAGTGCTTCAAGCAATAAGAGCACCTGCATAGTATGCATGAGGCTCTGAGTTCAAACCCCAGGGCTGCCAAAAAAAAAAAAAAATGTCCTTTAAAGCTTTGACACTCAGGATGGCTAACTGCTTCAAAAATAAAAACACAGCTGGTGGAGTTTGAAATAAGCAGACCTTCTTTCATAAATTTGAATAAAAATTTGATCTGGAAATTATTTTGTCCCTTATAAAATGCCTTGTCATTTTCAAAATAAGCCTCCTCTTACTGTCCTGATGTCCTGGCACAATAAAATATATTCTGCTCTCATTTTTATAGGAATCTGTTCTGAGGTTATTTGAAAAAGTGCTTTCTGTATGAAAAAACAAGTATTTCTTCCTCTAATGGGCCCAGCAGCAATTAGTGTTAGGGATGGCTCCAGAATTTGTATTCCTTTAGCCTAGTACTGAGGTAGTGAAGATAACAAAAGAATAGACAGTTTATGATGGAAAGAGTATTCTTATAAGTAAGCCAAACATTTTCATTTCTTGCTCAAGACAAGAAATTCAATGCCTCGTTTACTACTAGGCATAATAATTCTTGAGCTATTGTTCACACTAAATGTAATGTGCCCTTTTAAAACTAATTTTTTCTAGAATTTCATTCACAATCTAAGTATGCAATTCCCTTCTCTGCTGCTAGGTGGCAATTAATGCCTTGTAGAGAAAACAAATTCTCCCCAACCCAATCCTCTGCACTCAGAAAGACACATACATTTTCTTTTTCTTAAGGTAAAATTCTCTTAAGGCCAAAATTCTTTTTTTTTCCACTGCTTTGTTTTGTCCAAGTGAATTTACATTCACCTTTTCCTTTAATTGTTAAGAATTACACATACAAATCAAACATAGACTGCTATATCTAAGGAAGAATAGATCATATCTTTTAAAGAGGGTGGTTTCCAAACAGAGTGTATGTTCATGAGTGATATAGAGTAGGAAGTTGCTACAATTTCCCTGCAGGTTTGTTTTTTCAATTTTACTAAAGAAAAATTTCCTGTGAAAGGAATTGTAACTGGCTCATGCAAGCGTTATGCCTAATGTAACTAATTATAAGTGTAATGTAATTAAATATAAAAATGGAGAATAAGAAGTATTTTAAAGACCTAAACGCAGTTTCAATGTGGCAAAATTGCTTTTTCAAGTGACCTGTAAGAAAAAGAATAAAATAATTCTTCATAACAGTAACAGAGTGATACAATATAAAAACCAAAAACTTATTTTCTCAGATGACCTATAGATTCTTAGCAAAATTATCTAAAGGCTATGCATTTGTAAGCCTGGCAAAATCTGGTCTACATCTGTTTCCAAGTTTTTTTTCTTTTTTTTTTTTTTTTTTGCTGTGCTGGAGATCAAGCCCAGATCCT